CTGTCCTTCTATCGATCCTATATACCACGACGAAACGGGTGTCTGCAAAGTGTCGCTCGGCCAGAAATTCGTGTCGCTCAGGACTTATCGGTTTTCTACTTTTTCTGGAACATGGTTAGGAATGGATAATACCGTCGACTCATCTTCATTTCGTACTGATTTTTATCCGATTATTACGTTACCAATTTTATAAAGAATACCATTAAAGATACATTAAACGGATCAGGATTTCATTGAGGTATGTACAAACATTATACATATTTGCAAAATATATTCTTGAAAATAACATAATATAATTGAAATTAATAGACATATCGATCAAATAAAAATCGATTTCAAATCAGAATTAACTGATAATGCTTGTAACAAAAATTTTATAATGTACTAAATGATGTGATGAGAATATTAGCACGTTAAATTTCCAAACCGAATATAAAGTAGTGCTGAGGAATTGTTATTTTACATAAATTTATCGTTATCAGTTTTACCTAGTAAACAAATTTATCCCATGCCACTAGCACCAGCAGCACTCATGGGTCACCCGTTGCATAGCGAAACACACCCTGTACAGAAATGCTTGGTTTGCTAGCGCGTTGGTGCTTTCCGTACATGTACAGCCGTATGTTTATGCATGTGTACGTGTGTATGTGCATGTGTATGTGTGCTAGTCCACCCTCGAGGGAACATGGTGCGGTAGAGAGGATGAGGAATGTTGGGGTTGAAGAGGTAAGAGAAGGTGGAAGGGGGACAGCCGGGGGGTTAGAGCTAGAGAACGAGAGAGAGGATGAGAGGGTGAGAGAGGGCAGAGAGGGCGAGAGCGAGGGCTACATAGGAGAGGGATGGAGTACGTGGAGGCCCGTCTTATATTGATTTCTGTCCACGCCACCCCCGCCGGGTCCCCCCGTAACCTCCGCGCGAGCCGTCCTATGCTTGAACGGGAGGTGGCAGCGTCAGGTATAGGGGATGAGGGAGGTGGAGAATCAAAGGAGAGAATAAGAGGGCGAATGAAAAGGAAGAGAGAGGAAGACAGTAAGAGAGAAAGAGAGAAGGTAAGAGCATAAGAGAACAAGACTGACAGGAGATAGAAGGAAAAGAGCGGGGGGAAGAGAGATGGGACTCGCTCGCCGCACTTTCCACGGGCGGCGGGAGAGGCCCTCGGGGGTGGCACTCTGTCACATTCAACCCCGACCACCGTCGGCAGCCCCTCATTCAAATAACAGGCACCGCCGCTTCGAAGGATGGATGAGGGGAAAGGAGGATGTAGGTGGAAGTTGGGTAGATGGTAGCGGTGGATCGGGGGAGGCGGGCCGAGAGAGGGTGAGTTTCGTCCGGCCGAAGCACACCTCGATCGATTGGGCTTGTCCAAGGGTGGAAGAGGTATCCCCCTCCCCTCTCTTCCTCCCGTGGCCGTCCTCATCCTCCCCCATAGTACTCTCTTCCTTCGTCGTCCTCCCCCTATATCCCTCGACTCACTCACGAAAGCGCCCAACGCGAGTGGTGCACGTATACATGTATACGTGACTCTACGCGCGCGTATATGTGGCATGGCGAGGGGTTGCTATGGCGACCCACCCTCGGCACGGGGGTGAAACGCCATTGGCCGGCGCGGGCCTCGACCGATCCCCCCCGCACGTGTGCGTGAATGCGTGCAATGCATGCGTGTGTGTGTATATACGTTCGCGCGTGTTTGCTTCTTCTCGCCACTGTCCACGTTTTTGCTCTCATATCTTCAACAATCTTTTCTACGAGAAAAAATTTATTCGGAAGAAAATTATTTCAATAAAAAGCAAATGTTTGAAATAAATTCTTTGAGATGTTATCGTGGCTTATACACGATAATTACTATCTTTATAAAAATTTGTAACCATTTTAGATAAAGAACTCGACAAATGTGTTGGATAAAAAATTTCTTTGCTCATAATAGTTTAGTTCATATATTCGGGCGCAAATAAAGAGTCCCGAATACCGGCCGGAAATGATCGCATCGTTTACGCGCGGGAAAGGTGTTGAAGGTCGAAGACTACGTTTTGAGGCATGATTCTGTTTGCCGGCACCACTTTGTTCCTTTTTGCACAAGTAAATGGAGAAACTTTATAAAGTTCTCAGCGGCGGCTAAGTTTTCTCTCGTCGGAAATATCAGGCCGGCTACGGCGGTGAATTTATTTAAAACGGAAGTCGGCGGAAGTGGCGTGCACTTTCCCGAGAAAATCTCTACGGCTTCACTATCAACTCTCGTCACCTAATTTTGCTCGTTAAGCGTTTAGAGCTTAAAGTCGCGTGTTTAAAGATTCCCATTTAAGATTCCGGTTAGTCGATGGAAGATCTTTTTTTTATTTAAGCGTTGCGGGAGAGTTTACTTATTAATGCAACATTTTATGATGCAATGTTAAGTGAATTTTAGATGAGATAAATTACTTGGAAACGTGTTGTTTGTAGAATTACTATTAATATTATATTTTATAGGTTTATTTTGCAACATTATATAACATTTGCATAAAAATAGTGATTTCATCAATAAAATAATTTTGAGAAATATTATGTTTGTTGTAACACTTTTCCTACATATTTTTATCTTTACATTTATGAGACTAATGAAATATTTCTTATATACAATGTAAGTTAAATTTTATTTTTCAAATTTGTTAAATATAAACAAGCAATAAATATAAATAAATTACATTATTTGCGATTGAGATAATATATTCTAAAATTGTTCTAAATTTAATAGTGTGCTATTAAAAATCATTGTGAAAGATAACTATCGAAGATCTGAGTACCGTTTCACTTAATCTTAAAATGAAATATTAGATGACCAACAAGTTGGAGCAGCAGACGAAAGTCCAATGAAAAAGTTCCCACACGTCGCGGAATTCGCGGGAACGGCGAAAGAAAACAGGAACACGAATCGCGGTGAAAGAAAACGATAAATCCAACGAGAAAATAAGCCTCGCTAAGTGCACGTGACGCCGCCGCGCATTGCACCGGATGAAAGAATGAGAGAGGGGAAGAGACAAGAGTGAGAGAGAGAGAGAGAGAGAGAGAGAGAGAGAGCCGTCTGTGGTGAGAAACTGGCGTTGAAAGTCGTAAAATAATTTAACCCACTTTGAGAAGAAAATTAACAGAACGGCGAAAGTCTTTAAGATTCGCCGCGTCTCAGCTCACCCTCTACCTCGCCTGCCATCTCTGCCACCATTTGGCTCCTCCGTCCTTATCCGCCAGCATCCTCGCGCTCTTACTCTCTTATTCATTGAGCACCAACCCCTGTCCCTCCCCCAACCCGAACCCCCGCTCTACTACGCCACTTTCTTCATTGACTCTTTCTTTCCACTACGCGAGCCATACTGTGCTTCTCTCGCTCCTTTCGTCTCGCTCGCTCTCGCGCATCTCGTTTCCTCTTCTTTCCTCGCTTCCTTCCGAGATGGCGCGCTCTTTCTCGCTACTTCTCTGTTTTTTCTCTAATTATGAATGAAAGCGTCGTGAGGCGTGCACGTGAGTACGCAAGGAGGGAGCGGAAAAAGTACAGCAGTAGTAGTAGTAGTAGTAGCAGTAGTAGTAGCAGTAGTAGCATCAGTAGTAGTAGTAGTAGTAATAGTAGTAGTAGTAGTAGTAGTAGTTCGCCATCCCCGCGGCACCGCGAGAAGAGTTTGGCGCAGTTAAGCGCCGCAACTGAGACTACGTAACCCTGCTTTGCATACGTCTTCCTCTTTTTTCTTTCGCATTTTCTTCGCCTTCGATAAGGTCAAGGATTCCATCGCCGATGACGACTTAATTGCGGCACGCTCCGTGCTTGAGAAACTTTATTGTATAAAATGTTTGTTTATTCGACAAGTTTACACAGCTTTCATAGTCAACGGTAGCACTGACTATCATTGAAAGATAATGGATGACCGAGAATTTTTTTCTTCGACTTGATTTATGGGGAGAAAAAAAGACGTCAGCAATTTGTATGCAGCAGCCGAGTTATCGGGAAATTGTACCTTTTCATGTGACATTTAAATATCGTAATTATATAATTTTGACATTTAAATCCGTTATGTCATAAAGAAATATTATAATTTGTGCTCACACACACAACAATAATATTGCTTATACGAATGTAAGTTATATGAATCGCCAATGATAATTTTTTCGTCATTTCTCTGTTCTCTTGCATATCATATAATCCAATATTATTAATAAGAGCGTAAAAAAAATTCATATTTATTGAACGTATAATCCAACAAAATGTAACATTAATAAATGTAATAGTGGATTTTTTATATAAAATGATTTGATAGCATTCCCTATTTTATGTTAAGAATATATGTATTTCTTTCACTAATTAAATAATTTTAAGATTGACAGTCTGTATAATAAAAAATTATATTCCGACGAATAAAACTGATACAAAATATAATTCATCTTAACATTGTATATTAGCTGTTCATTTGAATACGAGCAACGGTCTGGAACGGTTTGAAATAAAGAACATCTGTATTTTTATAAGTGAAGGGCGCGTTTTGTGTCGTTTTGTTTGTAATTTATATACACACTCTTAGGTACGCGTATGTGTTACTCTGACATCTTTATGAATGCAAAACAATTTTATCATCTATGTCGCACACTTGAAAAAGTGCAGAATAACTTGACCTTCCATAGAACTGTCAGTACTTAAGGCCTGTTGCACTTTTTGTATGCTGTAAGCATAAATCTCGCCCGCTAAAAATGCCGATATCCCAAACAGGGATATATGTATAAGATATCAAGCTGAACAAAGAATATAAGAACTAAGCACTTATATTTTGCTATACTCCATTTTTTACTATCCCTCTACACTTATATATCACCAAATAATCATTAAGCCTTTTGTAATCCTTACAATAATCGTTTTATGTGGATAATGATATATGATTGCGTTACGTAATACACTGACAAATCGATTTAACAGTAATTTTATTAATATTAACAGTAAGATCTGAAATAACACAATACTAATATAACATTTAAGGTATATATAACAAAGTTTGCATTTTAACAAGTTACCCCCACTTCTTCCATTTTTTTTATTTCTACGGTGTAAATAATAGAGTTATGTTTGCGCCTCGTTGCCAGCTGCCGTGTTTTATGCTCGCATTTTATGTGCTGGCGGCGGCGGCGGCGGTTGTGGTGGCAGCGGTGGTGGTGGTGGTGGTGGTGGTGGTGGTAGTCGTGGTTGGACAACAACTTTTGTCATGATCACAGCAACAATCTTTTGGGAAAAGCCAGCTTAATAATGGACAATGTTCCACCATAGCCTCGAGAAATCCTGGTGTAGCATTCTGTGAAAATAAAATATATACACAATATACAATGCAAATTCGAATATAATGTTAAATATTTTAAGAAATATATATATATGTAATATATACTACGTAATTAAATTAAATTTCAAGTAACTTATGATTTTTTGCTACAAAAAAAAATTAAAAATCTACTTTCTATATTAATACTTACAGCCACTTCGAACATAACACAAGTTACGATAACGAATAGCAATATCGCCCGCATGTTTAGATTTGCTTATCTTCGACTTCTGATGCTTTGGTACAGAATTATGATGCTACAGCGTTTTTATACCGAGTTTCTGAATGTTAACCTATTTCTCACCATTGCTATCGGATAATACGCTTTTGTGTAACCACTTGTCTCGCAGTTATGCTTTGTTTCAATTAGGTCTGTTGTACATAGGACGCGTCAACGTGTTACGCGTGGCAAGAAACGGCGCGTAACTAGACTCTTCCAGATCAGAGAATTGGCTATCGCGTCGTATCTTGCCACGCGTAACGCGTTGACGCATTCTGTGTGTAACGAATCTATCTAATTGCAACAAATTGTAAGTATAATTGCAAGATAAGTTACAAAAACGTATTATCCAATATCAATAGTAAGAAATATAGGTTAACATTCAGAACTCGATATAAAAACGCTGTAGCATCATAATTCTGTATCAAAGCACCAGAAGTCGAAGCAAATTTAAGTAGGCAAATCTAAACATGCGTGCGGTATTGCTACTCGTCGTTGTCGTGGGTTGTGTCATGCTCAAAGAGGCTGTAAGTATTAATGCAGAAAGTAGATTTTTAATTTCTTTTATAGCAAAAAATCATAAATTACTTTAAATTTAATTTAATCATGTAATATATAATATATATATGTATTTTTAAATATTTAACATTATACTTCAATTTGTATTATATGTTGCGTATGTATTTTGTTTTCGCAGAATTCTATGTCTGTAGGATTTCTCCAGGCTCTCTTGGCACATTGTCCATTATTAAGCTGGCTTTTCCCAAAAGACTGTTGCTGTGATTATGACAAAAGTTGTTGTCCAACCACTACCACCACTACCACCACTACCACCACTACTACCGCTGCCACAACTACCCTCGGATCACTCCTGTCGACAGGTACAGGTGGTGGTGGAGGTGGAGGTATAGCGAATCCTATATTATGATTTGGCTCCGTCTTCGAATGACAAAAGAAAAAAGTGTGCTAGATTGTTATAAATTATAACAACTTATAACAACTTATCAAATGTGCGACGCAATATGTGACAAACAAACATGAATTTATAATGAATACATTTCAATATATGGTACATATAACATTTATAGCAATGAAGTGAAGTATGAATGAGTAAATAGGTTAAGTTGGTTCTTTAGTAAATCGAGTTATTATAGAAATATCTAATTTTTTTATATAATGAAGTTGAAGTATCAAAATTAACGTGCGCAAAATTCTATGGTATGTTAACGATGGAATAAAAGAGAAAAAAAATGTTGAAAATGTAACCTTTTACGTATAATCTAGTAACAGATAAGGCTCGCAAACGCTTCTTTGACTAATTGCACACAAATTTTACCATAGACTTTTCTAAAAAAAAAAAAACGAGATTATAATAATTTAAAAAATTACGATTTTAATGGTCACAAAAAAGTAATAGATCAACGGCCATTCTGGAAAGATATTTACGTGCATAAACTTGCATATAAATTTAACCTTGAAAAGTAAACATAATTTCATCTTGTTTTCGATGAAGATGCAACTCTTGATTTACTATCGTACTATGTTCGATATTATTTCATTAAGATATCGTAGTTTTAATATTTTATCAAAATTATGCAGACATTTGTAATTTTGGGTGGGCCTTAGTGAGGCACCCCAAATTTTCGGCACTTTACTAAAGAAGATTGTATGCGTGAACTAAAAATCCCCTTTTTGACTGTGTATACTGTGAAGTGTAAATTCTATTCTATTCTATATATTTGTAGCAAGAATAATAGAATACACATATATAAACATACTAATATCAGATTACGTCTAACAAATGCTGGTTAAATTAGTTAAATATTCTTGTAAAATTTAAAAAACACTCATCAGTTCAATATTAAATTCTATATATGACACATTATTATACATGTTAATTATTTCATTGCAGATTACTTAATTGAAGATTATATTTAGGAAGTAATAATGTGTCTCTCTCTTTCTCTATAAAAATAAAAAACATTTAAAAAATTACAATAAAAATGATATTTTTAAAGCTTGGATAAAAGCTTTTTAAAGCGTGGATTAAACTAATGTTCATCGATCTAACACACATTTCAATATTACAAATTTAAAGTTAATTAAAATAAAAATATATAAATAAATATATATAATAGTAAATAGAAATTGACAGAAAAATATTCAACACAAATGAGCTAGCAAAAAAAGCTATATTCAGTCAAAGCAGATTTGAATGTTCAATAATATTTTTGTGACCATTGAGTTGGGTTTGATTCCTCTCAATTATCCTTAATCAATTCAGCTTCTTATCTTTCTTTCCACAGTCTTATTCGTCTAAAAAAACTTTTTTCAATATATACTAATTATTGCGACAAATGTTACCATGTGTCTTGACAATAGGATGCTCGCGTCACGAAATGAGAAAGATCCAGGTTCGAATTCTGCAATAATATTTTTCGTAATAAATTCTTTTATTACGAAAATGTTTTACTCATCAGCATTGAAGTATTATTAAATTGCTTGTCAATTTAATTTGTAATATTACGTACTCAAGTTTCAGTTTAGGATTGTATTTCATTGACAAATAATTGACGTGCAGTTGATTGAACTAAAAATTGTAAAATTCACATAAAAATATTATTAGGCATTAAAACCTGTTTTGATTGAATATGACCTTCTTCACTCATTTGTGATAAAAATATATATTTTGTTGTTAAATATATTTTCTTAATACTTAAAAAATATTTTTCTATTTATATCGTTTAATAATTTTCAACAAGACCGTTCATTCATTACCATTAATATGTATACTATTATTAATTTTTTATTTAAATTGCTTTCAATTATGAATGAGAGATTTAGCCACTCAAACAATTGCGAAGAGTTGAACTTTGTCTGCTATTTCGGTATAAAAAGCAAACAAGTATAGGCTAGTAGTATTTTAACTTTCACAATCTAGTCTACACCCTGTAAAGTCAGTCGTTGCCCGTTAAACTCTTCTTCCGCAGGAAAACTGCGTTATCATAAAGTTTTATGCTACCATCCGCCACAGAAAACAATCCTTTTTCTACAGACAGGTCGCTTCTATTCTTAAAATTTAAAGCAAAATTGAACACTCATTATGATAACTCTTATACAGTATATTGATTACGATATATTGATATACGAAATATACGTACTCATCATATGTAGTAAATTTTAAATGCAAGAAGCGATTTTAAATAAATACAAGTGGAATTACTCGACTTGTATATTAAATAAATTTTTTTGTGATTATTAGTACCTAACACTATTGGTGTATATGCCACTCAAAATTATTAGTCTGCATTAAAAATTCAATATTTGCTTGCAACGACTTGTATATAACAATTAATTCCAACTGTCGCTCTTCTACGTCGCTTTTACGTCATCCATGCGCAAATCCTCAAGACTTACGGGAGTCGCCGGAGTGTCGTTTTCCATTATGCAGCTTAAGCCGAAGTGTACCTATGGGGGTCTGTTTCCATCTACTCCTTAACGAATCTTGGGAGCGTGCAAGCAGACGGCTGTGCACCGCACGAGCATATATGTTTGCACGAGCCGCTACGCTACGCGCACAAATTGCCTCGTCAGTATCAGCCAGCCGCTTTCGCTTTGATAAGACGACGGTCCCGTTTCGTTTGTCTTAAACCCGTCTTGCCCGCGGCGAAAATTTAAATTACCCTGTGCCCGTTGAGTGAAGTAAACCGTGTCTTATCGCGTTCGGTGTGTATTTGTTGCGAAGTCATAAAGTTTTATCACATGTCATGCTTTATGACATATTAAAAACATAAGATCGCACAAACATACACAGAAAGAACAATTTTGCTGAAGTATCTAAAATTTTAACTTAAAGATGCAAATTAGAAAATAATTTTGTTGGACCATCAAAATAATTACAGAATTTCAATAATTCGATAATAATTATTTTGATGGTCCAACAAAATTATTTTCAGATTTGTTATCTAGCTAAACTTTCAGACTTGAGTAAAACCATATACGTAACAGGTTCGTGAAATCTCAAGAAATTATCAATGATTAAAATTATTTAATTCTTGTAAGTTATAATAATTTCTTAGTCTTGACATCAAATATGTTACAAGTAGTGAATTATTAGTAAGCGCATGAGGCTTTATTGAGTGCAATATCACAAGATGAAGCTGTCTCGACAAAAGATGAACGATTTATTCGGCATTCAAGCGCGTTGTACATGGGGCATAATTAATTCCATACGTTTAAGTGGCACCTCATCGACTAATTAACGAACTTATCGGGCGACCGCAATTGCGACGATCATTTTCCAGAACGAATGCGTTCCCGGTGATATTAGCTACCGATAACGCGGCGTGTACAGCGTGCGCGAATGAGCACGGTATGAGGTACTCGGTTAATCCTACGGGAGACATACGCGAGCTAATTGTCGTTAAACGAAGAATGCCTTTGCTCGGGGAGACGATGTCGACGGCGATATTGCATTCATAACGAGGAATGCGGCGTTGCGCGCAGTGCCTGCATTAAACCCCGATCGACGATCCCATCATGATCGTATTCTTTGATTTGCTGCTTAAATGTGGAATGCGCTCGGTGCAATTAGATTCCGAATGCCGTCGAGCGAAGAAGTATTGACGGCGCTGGATCTAGAATGGGAGAAACATAGATCGCTTCGCGGATTTGCGTAAACGACGCTTTATAATTGTTCCGATCGGAATGCGAAAAAAATAGGTAAATCCTGGAAAATATAATTACTTCGAAGAGATATTGATTGAAGAGATATTACAGATTTACACCATAAAGAGTGAAATTTAAATGAGCATACTAATTTGATATTTACGATGAATATTGTGATATATTCTGAACAATTGTTATTTTAACATGTCTAAAAAAACAATTGTAGAACGTTAATATTGGTATCATCATCGCAATATTGGCTGCATATTTATCATTTCATCAATAGTTGAAATAATGCTATTAAACTTTGTTACTTGAGTGGCTTAGATTATTCTCAATTT